CATTTTTTATTTATAAGCTCTAAATCGATTAAACATCAAAATTGTTGATTTTCGAAAATTAACTCAATCATAACTCAAAAACTAAAAGCGATGGAGAAAAACTTTTTATACATAAAACCTTAATAATGGGAGAAAAAGACTAGATCCATAAAAAGATTGAACCCAATTATTACCATTTTTTATTTATAAGCTCTAAACCGATTAAACATCAAAATTGTTGATTTTCGAAAATTAACTCAATCATAACTCATAAAATAAAAGCGATGGGGAAATATTTTTTATACATAAAACCTTAGTAATGGACCATAAAGACTAGATCCATAACAAGATTGAACCCAATTATTATCATTTTTTATTTATAAGCTCTAAATCAGTGGTAGCCATAACGTCGATCGTCAAGAAAATCATGAATCTGAAATATCTATATCTGGACTTTCTATCTGGGTCGATCTTGGCAAAACGTTTATGTAAAAAGTCGATCTTGATCAAAAATTAGTGGGGTATATATCTATCGAATGTTCTAATGAAATTGTGCTAACTCAAAATAAAAGAGAGAAAGGGAGAAACCTTTACTCGTAGCCGAGTATAATAAATATATGAGTGTTATCGATCGTATGGATCAGATGGTAGCGTACTATCCCTGTGTAAGGAAAACCCTTCCATGGATAATAACTACAATAAGCACTCTGGGAAACGTTTATCTTATTATGAGCTTAATTTAGCAAGTCATTTTTCTATAAAAATTATAAAAAAAATGAAAAAGTTATGAAAAAACGATGCAGAGTGTGTTACAAGAATAAAGTCAGAAAAGATACTAGCTACCTAGTCCTCAATGTCCTGATGCACCAGGTTTTGTAATGAAAAATGTAGTTTCGCTGATAATGTTTTTATGAGATTACTTTTTATTTAGAATACCTACTTTTGTTATTACTATGCCAATGACAATAAAGACGAATATCTTGTATGTTTTTTTTTAACTAAAACTAGAGCTAACACTACAAGTAACACAAGACCTTGACCTAGAATCATTCGGGTTTAGCCATAATTTTTCTGATGCAATTTTTGCTTAAAAATGACCAATAGCAACCCTTCTTTTTGGCGCTACAATTTGAAAACACTCCGCCGAATAAAAAAATAGAGATACTATCTAGAAAGATACTATCTAGAAAGTATGATTTTTAACACAAACTAAGAAGTTTTATTTAAAAAAATTCTTTCAGTCTTGCTGAAAGTTCCGTTGGATTTAATTATCACTGAACGTGTAATTATGATATTAATAAATTTGTTTTTTTTTATCAATTACATATAAAAAATTAAAAAAATAGTAGTTAAATTTATAAGAGGAAATGGTGAAGGATAAAAATGCAGAACGATAAAGTAATAAAATCGATCTTTTTGTCGTTTTGTAATTAAAACGTTATAATTAGGTTTTGCGCAAGTTCTATACACTTTGTATTAAACGTCGCGTCGTTGAAGGAAGGTTTCGCAATTTATACGCGTTAATAAAGAGAATCATAACAAAATGATGTAATAATCAACAAAAAATTATTTTCTATAAGCTCAAGGATAAATTTGTATTTCCACATAAACTTTTTGAAAAGAAGTTTATGCAAAATTTATCGTCGTTTAAAACGTTACATAATTACTATATTTCCTGTTTCTTTACGAGTTATGATTTGTTTTTAAATGTCAATTTTACTTTTTAAATCAATTACGATTATTAAATAGCGATCAACATTTCTTTTTTATGAAATTGTAACTTTTAACTTTCTTATTGTTCATCGAGACGTGGTGAGCTTTCTATTATTTAATAAATTTTTTTTCGAAATTCTTCGATTATTATTATTCTCAGTGAAAACTTCTTCATTGTAATTAATCATTCGGATTAATATCTAAGTTTCTACATTTTTATATCGAATTTTGTTATTATATTATATTGAGGTTAATCCCCCCCTTTAAAATATCATCCCATTTACCTTAATTTCGGTTCGGTTATTTTCTGTTTTTTCTTTGAAACAGTACCGTTTCCGCAAATTATATTAGACATGCTCCTGAATAAGTGTACCGATTGCATATGAAGACACACACAAAAAAATAGAACACAAAAACAATCTTATTTTTTCTTAATAACTTAATAAAGTGCCCATTTTTTGATTAAAATCACTTAATTTTAAAACAAAGTCTTTTTTAACACTTAATTTTTTTTTGATTAATTTAAAAACTGTAAACGGTGTAATTATTTAGAAAATAAAGAAAAAGTAGCACTACGCCGGTTTGCACGCAACGAACATTCTCCTCGGACAGTTAATACGGTACTGAGACAAGAACTAGAAGAGACTGTTTTCGTGCTGAAGATGTTGTGGAGGTGCGAAAGAAAAAGAGGTAGCACAAAGCGGTACATTCGAATTATTATTATTTTCTTTTTTAATTCGATGCAATTTTCTATTCATTTCAACCGGTTTCGACGGGATACTCATCATCAGGAACAAACGTCATATCATATATTAATATGTCTCGATGTATTAAGACAATAATTACAAATTTCATTAATCCAAGCTATTTATAAACGATAATAATCGAAAAAAAGTAAATTCAAATTTATGTATACAGGGTGATTCAAAAAACCGCTGACAGACTTCTAGAGGAGATAATACATGAAAAATTAAGATAAATAGTCTTAATGTACATGGGTCGCAAATGCTTCGTTGTCGAGATATAGTAGAGTTGAAAATATTTTTAAAAAAGGGCTTTTTATGCAGATAATGTTTAATTTTAACCCTATGTGTCCCAAGAAATCAAAAATGTTGAAACTTTGTGACAGAATTAAAACGGTATCAAAACACACTCAGTAAAGACCTTTGGAATCAATACAAACCTAAAAGTGTCAAAAAAGATGCTAATTTAAAAATTACTGGAAGCCGTACTTATTGAAATTCAGGAATGAGACTTGTTCTAAATTAAAGCTCAAAGCTTTCTCTTTAAAATGATGTATAATAATTGTTGGGTTGGATTGGAAAAATATTGAGAAAAAAAATGTTGAAACAAAACTTACATTTTCGTATAACCTAAAAGTGTCAAAAAAGATGCTAATTTAAAAATTCCTGGAAGCCGTATTTATTGAAATTAAGGAATGAGACTTATTCTAAATTAAAGCTCAAAGCTTTCTCTTTAAAATGATGTATAATAATTGTTGGGTTGGATTGGAAAAATATTGAGAAAAAAAATGTTGAAACAAAACTTACATTTTCGTATAACCTAAAAGTGTCAAAAAAGATGCTAATTTAAAAATTCCTGGAAGCCGTATTTATTGAAATTAAGGAATGAGACTTATTCTAAATTAAAGCTCAAAGCTTTCTCTTTAAAATGATGTATAATAATTGTTGGGTTGGATTGGAAAAATATTGAGAAAAAAAATGTTGAAACAAAACTTACATTTTCGTATAACCTAAAAGTGTCAAAAAAGATGCTAATTTAAAAATTCCTGGAAGCCGTATTTATTGAAATTAAGGAATGAGACTTATTCTAAATTAAAGCTCAAAGCTTTCTCTTTAAAATGATGTATAATAATTGTTGGGTTGGATTGGAAAAATATTGAGAAAAAAAATGTTGAAACAAAACTTACATTTTCGTATAACCTAAAAGTGTCAAAAAAGATGCTAATTTAAAAATTCCTGGAAGCCGTATTTATTGAAATTAAGGAATGAGACTTATTCTAAATTAAAGCTCAAAGCTTTCTCTTTAAAATGATGTATAATAATTGTTGGGTTGGATTGGAAAAATATTGAGAAAAAAAATGTTGAAACAAAACTTACATTTTCGTATAACCTAAAAGTGTCAAAAAAGATGCTAATTTAAAAATTCCTGGAAGCCGTATTTATTGAAATTAAGGAATGAGACTTATTCTAAATTAAAGCTCAAAGCTTTCTCTTTAAAATGATGTATAATAATTGTTGGGTTGGATTGGAAAAATATTGAGAAAAAAAATGTTGAAACAAAACTTACATTTTCGTATAACCTAAAAGTGTCAAAAAAGATGCTAATTTAAAAATTCCTGGAAGCCGTATTTATTGAAATTAAGGAATGAGACTTATTCTAAATTAAAGCTCAAAGCTTTCTCTTTAAAATGATGTATAATAATTGTTGGGTTGGATTGGAAAAATATTGAGAAAAAAAATGTTGAAACAAAACTTACATTTTCGTATAACCTAAAAGTGTCAAAAAAGATGCTAATTTAAAAATTCCTGGAAGCCGTATTTATTGAAATTAAGGAATGAGACTTATTCTAAATTAAAGCTCAAAGCTTTCTCTTTAAAATGATGTATAATAATTGTTGGGTTGGATTGGAAAAATATTAAGAAAAAAGAATGTTGAAACAAAACTTGCATTTTCGTACAACCTAAAAGTGTCAAAAAATGCTAATTTAAAAATTCCTGGAACCCGTATTTATTGAAATTAAGGAATGAGACTTGTTCTAAATTAAAGCTCAAAGCTTTCTTTTTAAAATGATCTATGACAATTGTTCGGTTGGATCGGAAAAATATTAAGAAAAAAGAATGTTGAAACAATACTTGCATTTTCGTACAACCTAAAAGTGTCAAAAAATGCTAATTTAAAAATTCCTGGAAGCCGTAATTATTGAAATTAAGGAATGAGACTTGTTCTAAATTAAAGCTCAAAGCTTTCTCTTTAAAATGATGTATAATAATTGTTGGGTTGGATCGGAAAAATATTGAGAAAAAAAAATGTAAAACAAAACTTACATTTTCTTATAACCTAAAAGTGTCAAAAAAGATGTTAATTTAAAAATTCCTGAAAGCCGTAATTATTGAAATTAAGGAATGAGACTTGTTCTATATTAAAGCTCAAAGCTTTCTCTTTAAAACGATGTATAATAATTGTTGGCTTGGATTGGAAAAATATTGAGAAAAAAAATGTTGAAACAAAACTTGCATTTTCGTACAACCTAAAAGTGTCAAAAAATGCTAATTTAAAAATTTCTGGAACCCGTATTTATTGAAATTAAGGAATGAGACTTGTTCTAAATTAAAGCTCAAATCTTTCTCTTTAAAATGATGTATAATAATTGTTGGGTTGGATTGGAAAAATATTGAGAAAAAAAATGTTGAAACAAAACTTACATCTTCGTATAACCTAAAAGTGTCAAAAAAGATGTTAATTTAAAAATTCCTGGAACCCGTATTTATTGAAATTAAGGAATGAGACTTATTATAAATTAAAGCTCAAATCTTTCTGTTTAAAATGATGTATAATAATTGTTGGGTTGGATTAGAAAAATATTGAGAAAAAAAATGTTGAAACAAAACTTATCTTTTCGTATAACCTAAAAGTGTCGAAAAAGATGTTAATTTAAAAATTCCTGGAACCCGTATTTATTGAAATTAAGGAATGAGACTTGTTCTAAATTAAAGCTCAAAGCTTTCTCTTTAAAATGATGTATAATAATTGTTGGGTTGGATTGGAAAAATATTGAGAAAAAAAATGTTGAAACAAAACTTACATTTTCGTATAACCTAAAAGTGTCAAAAAAGATGCTAATTTAAAAATTCCTGGAAGCCGTATTTATTGAAATTAAGGAATGAGACTTATTCTAAATTAAAGCTCAAAGCTTTCTCTTTAAAATGATGTATAATAATTGTTGGGTTGGATTGGAAAAATATTGAGAAAAAAAATGTTGAAACAAAACTTACATTTTCGTATAACCTAAAAGTGTCAAAAAAGATGCTAATTTAAAAATTCCTGGAAGCCGTATTTATTGAAATTAAGGAATGAGACTTATTCTAAATTAAAGCTCAAAGCTTTCTCTTTAAAATGATGTATAATAATTGTTGGGTTGGATTGGAAAAATATTGAGAAAAAAAATGTTGAAACAAAACTTACATTTTCGTATAACCTAAAAGTGTCAAAAAAGATGCTAATTTAAAAATTCCTGGAAGCCGTATTTATTGAAATTAAGGAATGAGACTTATTCTAAATTAAAGCTCAAAGCTTTCTCTTTAAAATGATGTATAATAATTGTTGGGTTGGATTGGAAAAATATTGAGAAAAAAAATGTTGAAACAAAACTTACATTTTCGTATAACCTAAAAGTATCAAAAAAGATGTTAATTTAAACATTCCTGGAACCCGTATTTATTGAAATTAATGAATGAGACATGTTCTAAATTAAAGCTCAAATCTTTCTCTTTAAAATGATGTATAATAATTGTTGGGTTGGATCGGAAAAATATTGAGAAAAAAAAAGTTGAAACAAAATTAACATTTTCGTATAACCTAAAAGTGTCAAAAAAGATGCTGATTTAAAAATTCCTGGAAGCCGTATTTATTGAAATTAAGGAATGAGACTTATTTTAAATAAAAGCTCAATGCTTTCTTTTTAAAATGATCTGTAATAATCACACCTAATAATCATTTATCAAGGAGATACCTTTTTGAACAACAAAATTCAAAAACGCACTAAACTTCTAACCTCACATCTGGACGAATAAGTTAAAATATACCTAAAAACCCTACAGTGCGGATTGCGTCTTTTTTTATACAGATTCTTTCTTGTATAGTAGAAGGTACCGACAGCTGAGTCGAATAGATGACTACAGTTTAAAATGAGTGTTTAAAACTACCGGTACTTTAAAGTACCGTCGGGACACAAAGGGTTAAAGGAACTTTGACCCGCTATATCTCGTGAAGGAGGCATTTGGGACCCCATGTATATTAAGACATTTCATTTCCCTAGAAGTCTGTCAGTGGTTTTTTGAATCACCCTGTATATTAAGCTACCACTATTTTATTACCTTCCTATAATGATCATTACGTCATTACTCAGCGATTGCATCTTGATGTGTGCAGTTATGTTGTACTAGGATTATAATTCACACCTATATTTAGTGTTTTAGACACAAGTATCGAGTGTAAGGTGATTTATGTAGTCAAAAGGTAACGGAGATGAAGTTATAATTAATGTAGATTCGGATATCCAACAGTCGTCAGAAAACCAATGAGATTCGGAGTAGACCTAAGCAAGATGGAGATAAACTTTGAGTAGGATGCACTCAAACCTTAAATTCCCCGGTGTATACAGAAAGGGGAAGTCCCTTTATCATGCGGATGTCGTGAACAATGCATTAGTGCTTGCCGAATCCGTGTAGTATTACTTTGTTACTACTGATGTGCGATTTGATATTTTAGCATAATTTTTTAGTTATTTCCGTATCTCTTAATGAGGCTACTTTCTACAAACTTTGCGTTTTAGTCATTACGGAAAATAGATTGTAGAAA